AGAGGGAGAGAGAGAGCGAGAGAGCACAGAGGGAGAGAGCACAACAAGCACTCTCCGCTCCCTTCGGGGCCCTGGCGGCGAAGGTCTCGGCCTCCTTGGCCTCCGTTTTGGCCTTGACTTGAGCGGCCGGGATGAGCTTCGCCACGGGAGCTTCCGAGTCCGACAAATCCACCTTCGTGCCTCGAGAAGCGCAAGCGCAAGGGCCCCACTTTTTTACTGGGCCTCTTTTTTCAGCGACGCCAGGAATGCGAACTCGGCCCGCGCCTTCTTTCTTGGGCCGTTCTGAGGAGGACTTCCTCCTCTTCTTCTCGGTCTTCTCCTCCTTCTTGCGCGGAGGGCTGGAGCTACTCCGGCGCCGACGCCGGTCCTGCGGAAGTGCGGCCGTGCGGCGGGGGGGGGGGGGGGGGNNGGGGGGGGGGGGGGGGGGGGCTCTCGAGCGGAGCGGATCGCAAGAGACCGTTTAACTGTCTGGAGGCACCGCCGCCTGTCCTTCTTTCCCATCACCGGCCGCGGGCCGCCCGGCGCCGGGCGGTCAGGCCAGCCTGCAGAGAGACAGCGACAAGTGGAAAGCATGCTGCGATGGATACCTTCGAGCAGCGCACCTGCTGAAGTCTACTGTGTGATGGGCACGCACGTGCGCGAGTGTCGGCGCTCTGCTACCCACGTGTGCTGAGCTGTCACACCAGCCCAAGCAGCCTCTTGCACCAAAACCTCTGAGCCAAACGCTGCATTAATATGAACTTGTCCGGGGCACACAGGTGAAACTGTGTAGACTGACCAGCACGCAATGACTCTCACAAGTGCTCCTTTCTTGAGGGGCGTCTCCTTAAGAGATGCAGGGTCTGCTCCTCGTTTGAGGACAAACTGAGCCCCGAGAGTTCACCTGACATCACGCTGTGAATATGTTGGACTCTTCTCCTTCAGATCAGAAGGTCGAGGCCGAGGCGGCCGAGGCGGCCGAGGCTCGGACGTCACTTTCTTCCTCTCCTCGCAGCATCCTCCTTTCGCTTCACCTTGGCCTCTTCGGATCGAGCCTGCAACGAGCACCCGGTGCGCGGATCCGGCTGATCGCTTCTTCCAGGACGGCGCTGACGGCGCCTGCAGGACCAGCCGCCGCGCTTCCTCCATCCACTTGTGGTCCTCGAGACCGTGAGAGGAATCGAGCCCCCTGCAAGGTGCTGGCAAGTGCTCCTTGGGGACTCCATAAACCTCCGAGGCCTCCTGCACCACCTCGCAGAGGGAGCGGCGCGTGGCGCGCGTCGGCCATCTCGGCCCCGCGGCCTGATCGATCTCGTTGGCCACCTGCCCCGCCTCGGCGACCCGACGCAAAGCTCCCTCTCTGCTCTCACGGCTTTTTTGGGCTCCCGGCAGAGCCCAGCACTGGCTCAATGGACTTCATCAGGTTCAAGCAGTACCTGCAACCACATCTCCTTCTGCCTTCTGCTGCCTTGCGGCCTTGCGCTCTAGGCCGCTCCGGCTGGGATGCTCCGGCTGGGCTCTTACCGGAAGGCTCGGTGCGCGCGCAAGTCGTAGGCCAGCCTCAGCTCACGGCCGCCAGCCGGCGGCCCTTTTCGACCCACTTCCACTTGCTGATGACGTGCAAAGCTCGAGCCGGTCCCGAGGCACTGGCTGCCAGGCCTTCGACAGCTCCGGATGATTCGGATCCACCGAATTGCTGCTGCTGGCCGCCTCTCCCCACGAAAAGCCGGGGCTCGAAACACGGCGCGAAACAGCCGCTCCCCCGCGGCGCCTTGATGGCGTACTCGATCCGCGCCGCTCTCCGAAGGGAGTCCTCCCACGCACTAGGTCACTAGGCCACAAAAGGGCCTTATAAGCCTCTTCCCACATCCCGTCCTCGCCCAGACTGTCTGAAAGAGTGCCGTTCGAAGCCTTCGAGTGAGAAACGGCACCCCAGCCCTGGCCTGAGGTCGGCGCGAAACAACCCCCCACCCCACCTCGCCCTTCGCAAAGCGGTACACTGCCATGGCGTGAGCGTGGCGAGCCTCGCGTGCGACAGACAGGCCCGGTGGCCCAGCNNCCCCCCCCCCCCCCCCCCCCGGCGTCCATGGCTTCTGACTTTCTTGCACCACATACGTCAACCCACTCACGCTTTGGTTCGCGGCCGCTGTGCCCCCCTCTGCGAGTTTCTAGGAGTTTGAAGGCAGAAAGCGGGGGCACGGGAGACCCGCGAGCTGAGCGAGCTGAGCGAGCTGGGCCGGGCCCCTGCGCAGAGCTCTGCATGTCCCTCCTGCTGGGCGCAGCTCGCGGCTCGCGGCTCAGGGCAGACCCGGGTGACACAGACGTCTGCGAAGCTCCATATTTGTTGCACTGTACAAACTGTGCACGGCTGTGGCGTCTTTTGCGCCACTGCCGACCAGCTTAGCTTCTATACACCACTCGCGAATTTTGCGACTGGGCACGAGCCGGGAGCATTTTCAGTGTCTGCGTGGTTGCGAGGTTGCGGTCGCTAGCTTCCTGGTGTCAGAGACCCTGCGGCAGCTGCCCCGAAAAGGGCAAATCCCTCTGAGACCGCTGGCCGATGTCGAGGATGATCGCCACACCGGCCAATACCCACTTGGCGGCAGGTTGTTTTGTTCTCAATTGGGCCACGAAGACGAAGTGTGGCCTGGCAACTGGCAGGCATGTCAGGCATGGCAGGCGCTGCTATGAAAAACGAGAAAGATAGAGAGAACAGCTCGAACTCTCCAACCTGCGTGTCGGCACGCAGTACGTGGGGCACATGTACATGTTCTTGTCTTCCTTCTCCTGTTGCAAACCGGCCTCCCAAATCACAGCGAGTCTCGGCTCTTGCGGACGCTTGCGATAACACTCGAGGTCTGCAAGCCAGACATCGCCTTGCAATTGATAACTGGCAGCCGTGTGAACATGTCCTTCGGTCGCGAATCCTCGCATCGCGGGAATCAACTTTGCACCTCATGAACCTGCACATGCCAACAATCATGCATCTTTGCAAAAGCAGCTGCCATGTTAAGGATACTCACCGCGTAAAGACAAGCCTCGGTTGGAGAATTGAGAGCCCCATGGAAGCTAAACATTTACACGCGTATGGTTCACCCATCCTCCCCAATCCCGCCAAAAATGTATTAATATTCTAATATCTAATAGCTTTTGTAAAGGCTTTTGTCAATTTCTATGGTCTCGTTTGTAGAGTCGTGCTTGAAGTATCCGGTTGGCACTATGGTTCTGGATTCATCAAAAATGTCTATGTCAGTCTGGCTATAATCGGATTTATGGGCATCGTTGAAGATGTTTTGTTGAAGTTAAACATTTCTCGGTTCATATTGTTGAAAAGCTCTTCGTTTTCTCCTGATACATCTTCGTCTATGCTGTGCGTTGATAGGTTTTGTAGATTGATGGTGTAAGTGATTTCTTGCTTCGTGTTTTTTCTTCCAATTTGTTTTTAACTCTGTCATTGCTCCTGCTTGATATTTAATGAAGGGCCCCTAACCTGCTGTTCTTAGTTCATGGAAGAGCTTTATGAGGTCGTTATCTTTATGAACTAAAGTGTACTCTGGCTTTTCCGTGTTTTTGAATAAGTCATTGACTGTCTCTATCACATGGCATTCCCGTGGCTCTTCTCGGTCGCATATACACTAAATTGCTGCTGATTTTAAGCTTGCTGTCTTCTGGGGTGGTGTTGGTGTTCGCAGTCGCCTGGCAATGCGAAGGGCTACTCTTCGAATTCATTGTTCGTTTGATGCTTTTGAGGCCTCTGTCGATGGTATGGATGTGGTTGTTCTTGATGAGCCGGAAGAAGCCTCTCGTGTGTTTATGGTAGTCGGGCGGGTCAAAGGAATAAATAAGTTGCCGTTGAAGTCAAACAGCCTGGCTGTTATGTTAAATTCCTTGAAGACGTTTTCCAATTGTGTGGTGGAGGCGCCTTTGCTTTTAAACTCTTCTTCTGTTGTGCCTAGAAGTTCTAGCATATATTTTCGGGTCAGGGTTTTTGACAGTGAGCCCCGCTTGCATTTCATAAGGTAAATAAGCATAAACGGAGGGAACAGAATGAAGATTATCGTGGAGGAACAGGAAAGAAAAAACAATTGTATCATTCTTTGGATAGTTTATTATCATTGTGATGTTTGTGATTGCGATGCTCTGAAGTGTAATCTTGCGAAACATGAGAAACTAATAAGCATGTGGAAAGTTTGAGATTGAAGGAGGCGGATTAGTTCACCTAATTAGATACTGTAAGGTGAAACATACGCGTGTAAATGTCTGGCGCTAGAGCCGTCGACAGGGACAGACTTCCTGCACACACCGGCGGTTCCCGGTTCCTCCAAGCAGTTGGCGTTCGCATCCCAGCGAGCACCCTCCAAATACCTCCACTCAGAAGCGACAGTTTGAACTGCTTGAAGTGTATATGCCTCACCCGGCACGTGTCCAGGCCAGTGCTCCGCGCCGGAGACCACACAAGCTGGGCATCGCCGCGGGGGCACATGCCCGTGACGTAGGCCCCTTCGCGCGCCAGGCTGTCGACCATCTTTGGGTCCAAGCGCTTTGTGACCTGCAGCGTCGACAGTCTACGCTCCGGGGGGCTGTGTCTGCTTGCAGCCGGCGCCTCGGTGAAGACGTGCAAGCGGTCCAGCTCCAGGTTCACGCTCTGGCAGCCTGCTGTTGCGGGGAGTCGCCAATCGCCAATCGCCGTATTGCATATATGGGGGCCGCGCAGACTTGCTTGATGGCCGTGAGGAAGCTCTGTGGGTTAAAGAGCTTGGAGACGTCCACCACCTCCAACCAAGCAAAAAAACCAAGGGCGGGGGGCGCCGCCGCCCATCAGCGGCCCATGCCCGGTGCCTTGCCTTGGGGATGTGGATGGGCTCGGCAGACCAATCCTCCAGCTGCGCACAACGGTCCTTGAGGTTCACCAGCCAAGACCTCCGGATCCCGTGCGTTGCCCTCAAAGGCGAGACCTACTCTCCGCGGCTCTCCGCGGCTCTCGGCTCACAGCCTCAGAGGCCGCGTGGAGGGGAAGCCCAGCTTCACCCACCAGACAGGCAAGATCTGCTCCGACAAGGCCTGGCAGAGCCGAGCGCAAAGCCATAAAAGCGGAGACCTCAGAGCCTCGCCGCCTCGCCTCCGCTAGCTGCTCCATGTGTTCGCTCATGGTCAGCTCTCCTTTGAATCCAAGCTGAAGCTCGTTGAGCCCCCGCACCTGCGGTAAAAGCTGTCTGCCTTTGACCCTTGAGAAACTGCCCTTTCTGCCGCTCCGCCGCTCCGCATCGCTCCGCATCGCTCCGCATCGCTCCGCCGCTCTGAGGCTCCGACCATTTCCTGAACCAGGCAGTTCATGCAATCGCACTCCTGGCAGGGCCCGCCGCGTCAGGGCCCGCGTCTCCCCCCGCGTCTCTTCTGGAGGGTGGCGTGTCTGCAGCAACCGCGTGCTGTGGCAGATCGATGCTCCTGCATCATCACGAACTGGTACGGCCCTCGCTCCTCACGAGAGAGACAAGAGAGAGAGAGAGAGAGAGAGAGAGAGAGAGAGAGAGAGATCAGGAGCGAAGGAGTGACGCGAAGACACAGAGCCTCTGAATTTTGAAGGCATGGCTGTGTGCTGTGCTGTGCTACAAGTTCAGAAATCTGGCATCGCTCCAGCGCTTGTCGGCGGCGCAAAGCATCCAAAGCTCTCTGCCGCAGTCTCTGCCTGTTTCTCCCTTCTCGGTCCTCCTCGCTCAGCTGCGCAGAGATCTCCTCCCCACGAACTGATTCTCCCCGGTTCTCCCCCCCCAAACGAGATAATGCCCTTCAATGGCTCAGCACGCTCAGGATGCGGTGGCGGACAAGGCACCTCGACGTTGAATCGAACCTCTCGAACCTGGGCATTGCATGACAAGAACAGACGTTTTGTTTTCATACTTGTTCTGGGCCATTTCGTGGGTCACCGCCGAGCTCGCCGCCTCATCCAGAATTTCGTTGCACATCTCTTCAGCCTCAGCCAGAGAGCTCATGTCGCATGTCGAGCCCGCCCCCGGCGCCCGGAATTCACCAGGTTCTGGATTCTGGATGTCTGAACCTTTCCGAGCTCGGGGCAGCGGCCATGGGCGACTGCTCCTCAGCAGCCTGCCCGGTTGTGCACAAGATTGGGCACCCTCAGATCGCCGCGCGGGCTGCTCTGTGCTGCGCTGCTCTGTGCTGCGCTGGGGGCGCCTCTCCCGGGCTGCGTTTGGGCTGGATCAGCTGCAAGAGCTCGAAGATGGTGTCACACCTGAGGGGAAGGGCAAAGGGGGCTCCCGGCTCCCTCGCCCCGGCTCGGCTCTGAGCTCCCGGCATCTTCGTGCGGAAGTCGATCTCCGCGTTGGGGTGCATCCCAAAGAACAGGGGCGACTCCGCCGGCATCGTCTCCTGACCAAAAACAACTGAGCAGCAAAGGAGCGCATGATTCTCCCAGTGGCGCCCGCATATGCCCGCATATGCCCCCTGAAGTGTGGCGAGGAGCGATGTGCTCCAGGTATTTCTCATGCGTTCCGGGGCCGGGGGACTTCCAGCTGAGCTGCCCATCAGCCTGAGAAGAGAGAGCCGCAGCTGAGCGAGCCGGGAAAAAGCACACGCTGCCGATCTTGGAATCCCGGCATAGGGAACGAGCTCCATCTCGTCCAAGATCTCGTCCTTCGGATGCGACGCGACGCAACGAGGGCCCCCCCCCCCAAACAAGCAGGCTCCGGCAATGGCAAGTCCTGCATGAAGTATGTCAGATACTTCTGGCACATCCTGCGGTCCCAGTCGTCAACAATGTGCCCTGCGCAGAGTCAGCAGCTGGAGGGATGCTTCGCTTCGCAAGGTTCCGGCCTCCGTACATGATCTCCCCAAAGATATATCTCAGGTCCTCCCATGGGATCTTCACCGCCGTGGAGCCCTCATGAGGCAGGTGGCATCAGGCGGCCAGCGAAGCGAGCGAAGCGACGGGAGATGGTTGGCTTCAAGCGCGCCCACCTCCAAGTAGTTGTAGAGAACGGAGGCCGAGTCGCGAAGATCGCCGTTCGAGAACGGGTACTTCCTGGGGGCCCAGTCCCCAAAAAAGGAAGCAGGGCGGCAACACTCCGAGATCCGAGCATGTTGTAGCCCAAGGCCCCAAATTTCTTCCGCTCCAACATCAAGGAGTGAAAGTGGCACAAAGCAAACAAGATGGACCTCGGCTGGAGGTGCGCTGCGCCCCTGCCTCTTCCAGCCGGCTTCGTGCTTGCAAAGCAGCTTGATCTTGCTGTCCCGCTCGTCGAACTCCTCCCGGTTGAAGAGCGCGAAGGAGCGCCTCAGGCTGCAGAAGCGAGAACCTCAGGCGCAAGGGCGACTCGCGGCCCCTGGGCCCCTGGGCCTGAGGTTGGCCTGGAGGCCCTGGGGCGGTTCGTTGGTGAGCTTGATGGACCGCTCCAGCAGGCCAATGGGGATTCCCAAAGAGGGGTCCGCAGAGAGAAAGAGCCGGAAGTAGGGGCTGCTGTTCCTGCAGGCTGCAGGACCGAGGCCAGGCCGACCACTTTGAGTGTGTGCTGTCTCATGCTGTTGGGACCCCGGGCTCAACTGCGAAGGCATCCAACCTCTTCTCCAACGTGGCCTCCAAAATGCGTCGTTTGAGAAACGCAAGAACAAGGTCGCAGAGTCTTCTTAGGCGACGGGCACACCAGGAGGGCATCAAGTGGATATTTTGGAGCATGACCTTTGCTTGAAGGCTGGCAGCTTGCCGCTATACTAAGCACGGCGCTGAGGCAGGCGCCCAATGTCCCTCTTTGGATCCTAACTCCAGCTTTTGCATAGCGATCTCATCCTTTCATCATGTCTGCAATTTCCTTCTTGCGCTCTGCGCTCAGTAGCCAGTCTCCTCACCTGGCCCTGGCCCATGGCGACATTGTGGTAGTTCACGTTGGCCTGCAAGCCAATCAGGACCTTGCCCAAGGCTTCCACCTGGCAAGTTGAGCCCATGCCGCCTCCCCTCACCCGGTCTGCTTGCCCCGCTCCCTCGTAAGGCCCTGAAGGCCCTAAATCCCTCCCGCCCACTTCCCGGTTCCGCAGGCCAGCTCTCCTCTCTCTCTAAAAAGAAGCTGAACCAACGACACACGTGTGCTGAAATGTTAATGGAGTTTCATGTTTTACACGGCTCCTTTAATCTGCAACACGCTCGGAACAAGGAGCATTAACGGCTAGGTCTAGGTCTCCCCTGGTTCATCCCCCAGGGCAACGACACCACCGCGCGCAAGTGCGCCCTCGACAGTTGCGGGTGCCAAAGCGTTGCAGGCGCACCACGAGCAACGGCAATGCTCCGCCAATATTGAATACTTGCCGCTGCTGACCTTGACCAGACTCTTCTTCCACAGGGGCAAAGGAGCGTGTCAGCCCCCCCCCTTGACCAGACTCTCTCTCCCTCTCTCTCTCTTTCTTTCGCCAGGGCTGTGTGGTGGGGAGTTGCCTCCCCACCGCGCGCAAGTGCGCCCCCGACTGTTGCGGGTGCCAATAGTCTCTGCAAGCAAACTCGACAGAGGCAGCGATCGCACAAAGAGGACGAAATCATCGTAATGGAAGACACATCACTCTCTCTCTCTCTCTCTCTCTCCCGCTTCGCCCCCCACCTCTTTGACGGGATCTGCCCCCGGCGACAGAATGAAGAAGAAGGGTGTGTTACTGGTGGAGTCCTGCAGAACAGCGGGAGCCGGGGGGTTCGGCAGCGGCACCGAGCCATGCTAACTTCTGCCGGTAACCCGAACCAGCATCTCAAAGCAACGGCGCTAGAGACAGCTACGAGTACTGTGCACTCAAGAACCGACGCGTCCGCGTCCTCATAAGACGACTGGAGCACCTGGAAGTGTGTCAACGACTTTCCGGAAACAGAGCGCGCACATGTCCAACGCCTTGTAGAAAGACAGCGATGCATCACAGTCAATGTAATCTCTGCCGCTTGGAAGGCTCTGCCTGAAGGTACAGGCTCAGTCGGAGCTGTGCTCACTGCTGCCTGTCAGTGCCATGTGCCTTATCCACTTGGCCAGCGCGATGGACATCCGGTCCGGCCGAAGACAGCGGATTACCAGCCTGAGACAACGGAGAAGTATAGCTCAGTCCCCTGCAGTGCAGATGCTGGCTTCGAGCCGCGGGCAACTTCCTCGGCTGGGGCTTTGTGGCCGGCGACTAAGACGCGACTGCATCCAAGCACAGCCGAGCTGCCGAAAGTACTTTGCGTCCAGCGTCTTCCAATCCAGCGGCAGCTTGGCATCCTGCGAAGTGTCCAACTTCCGGACGCGAACGGGAGAAAAGGGGGGGGTGCTTAGTGTGCTTAAAGTCTTAAAGGTCAGGCCGCCAGATGCCTCCGGGGCGGCTTCGGCCATCCAATCCCGGAAGCCTCGGAGAGCGGAGACGGAGCATGGCGAGCTTCTGGGCCGGCAAAAGCCGGCGCCCGGGCGGTTCGGAGCATCGCGCTCCATGTTCTGCCTCGAGCTTCGAGGAACTTCGAAGAAAGTTCCGCCGCGGGAGGTTTCGAGGGAAGTTGGGCTGCCGGGCGCGAAGTTCTCGAAGCCTTCGAGTTCCACCAACTTCAGGACCATGGCCTCGCAGAGCGCTGCGCGCCGCTCCGCGCTTCGGTTTCCAGGCTCGGTGTGGGGCCCGGGCCCAGCTCTTGTTGGGGAGCCAGTCCAGAGGGTTCTCGTAGACCGGCGCCGAGGGCGCCCGGAGCAGGAAGCTGAAGTGGCTCACCACGAAGTCCTATGCGGCGAGGCTCCGACGAACCGACAGCTCCAAGACAACACGGAACACTGTCCCTCTGCTCACTGCAGCCTCCTGGAGCTGTCGCAAGGAGAGCAGGCGGAAAGCCAGCATCGTGCAGAAGATGAGCCTCTGCTCGTGTCTTGCTGTGTTACCCCCGTACAATCCAACGTTTGAAATTGTATTGCAGTCCTGCCGTGCCCGGCCGTGAGAAAGACAGAAGTAGCTGTCGCCGGTGCGGGTGCGGGTAGCCGGGTAGCCGGGTAGACATGACGATGGAGATGATTGTGTCAAGCTTGCTGCGGCGCTGCGGACAATCAGACCCTCTCCGTGCAAGGTCAAGAAGCTTGTGGTCTTCGAAGAGGCCCCGGTTGACCTCAAGGCGATCACCAACGGACCCGTCGTTTTCATGGACAGTCAAGCAGAAAAAAATCAAGCGTAGCCGGTTTGCAAAAGCCAGCGCAAAGAACTACACAGAACCGCGTTTCCAGGTTCAAACTTGAACCAATTCAAGTCAAAAGTGTGTATAGAGTATAGAGTCAGTGTTTTCAGAACTCGAGAGCAGGTTGTGGCAATGGGGAAATGCTCCAGAGCTATCCATCTTATCCGGATCTACACCTGAAAGCTCTTTGACACAGCTCATAATTACGCTGCTACACATCACCTTCAAGCGAACCCTTCCGGAAAGCAATCGTGCCAGTTCTTGCGTTTGTCCTTGCAGTAGCACTGCTCAACCCCACAGCTGGGAACAGTGGAGCATGTAAACATCATGCCAGCGTGTGACGATCCCGACCACTAGGAATACCACGACCACAACGAAACAACCAGGAGACCTCCAGGAGACCACACACCAAGGCAGGCTTGCCACAAGTCCCGAAAAAAGACTTCCCCCAAGCGCTGGCACGGCATTGCTTTTGTGCTTCCCGCATACTGCCCCGCACTTAGGGACTGGCCCAGCGGAAGACGGTGAGCCGGGCCGATGCGATGAGCAGCTCCGTGCGCTCCGAAACCTCCTCCGAGCCCTGAAAGCAAGGCGAGGCCGAGCTCTCGCTGCTGGCTGCGTTTCGCCCCAGGCCCAACCTGGGTGCGGTCGATGGCCTTCTGCAAGAAGCTGTTGAAGGCGTCCAGGGAGTACTGGTACATGTGCTGCACCTTACTCTGCATGCCTCCCTTGCCTCGCTCACTTGCCTTCATTCGTCCAAGAGACCACACAGAGCTGGTTGATTAAGAAGAAAAGCATGGAACCTGAAGAGCGATCCATCGCGAGAGCTCAGATTCATTCATATCGTAGCTGCCTTCCGCTGCCACGGGCCGGTAGAGTTCTCTGGAGTGATTGATCTCAACCTGCGGGGAATGCGCCGTCCGGCCGCTACGCCCCGCTACGGCCCGCTACGGCCCGCTACGCCCCGCCGCGCCCGGCGCCTCCGTCTTCTGCGCCTCCGCCACTTGCAAGCCAATTTCGCGACTTGTCTGCTTCGTCTTCTCAAGGCCCTCGCGGAAAAGGAAAGATTCCAAACACAGCCTCTGAGCGATCGCGCCCCCATGGCCCCGGCCTCGATGAGGGGCAAGTTGTCCAGGATGGTCGTCGGATCGGCAGCAGACAGCTGGGATAAGAGCTCGTCCTGATTGAGCGACACGCTGCTGCCCCCCCCCCCCCCCCCACTGGCCTCTTTGCGCCTCCAGCCTGCTCAGCACCACCTTTCAAGAGTGGGGGGGGGAAATTCGGACGTGCAAGGCGGAGGTGGCATGGCAAGGCCTTGTACTCGTTCTGCCGTCGAACCAGCGTCTGCAGCGCTTGAACACGAGGCATTGTAAGCTGCCCTCTGAAAGGATTGACCGCATCTGGGCGCCTGCTTCTCCTCCTCGAGCTGCGGCTTCTCGCAGTTCACCACCATGGCCAACACTTGCTCCTGAAAACTGCGAGATTGTCTGCGACACAAAGGCCCGGTGCGGCCTCGAGGCCCTCGGGAGTGACGATGAAGTTCACCACAGTACATTGGGCAGAAACCTGGCAAATCACCGCCACCCCGTTCCCCTGAATCTTGAAAAGCATCCTAACCTAACTTCAAAGGTTTTGAAATGTACACATGTATGGTACGAAGTCGATGTACATGCAGCGGGTTGCGGAGACATTGACATCATGCCTCAGCAAAGATACGCGCACATGCAGCAGCAGATGACAGTCAGCTGCATTTGCTGCCTGTGCTGCTTAACAAAACAACAACATGAAAACGCGCTATGGAGTGCGTGTGAAGTTTGCGAAATGGCAATAAGTGACCACACTCCGGGCTGTGGTTTTGGGGTCTGGATTTTGAAGTGCTGGATCCATGGTTTTGGGGGCTTAGACCCAAATCCCTCAAAAGTTGCACGCTGGTTAGCAATTAATCCTTCAAATAATATACAACATTTCGGAAAGTTTGTTTTTCTGCCAAAAACCATCTTTTTCCCAGGACAGAAGATGGTTCTTTGGTTTTCCCTCAGGAAAACTTCTTTTCCTAAGAAAGAATTTGATTGTGGCTGAACAACCAGGGAAAAGATTGCTTTGAGTAGGAAAACAAACTTTTTCTTCGGACAATGTTGGTTTTGCGCTGAAAAACAGTCCTTTTCCTATGTGTTTGCCCCAGGAAAAAATGTTTTCCTGCACAACACCATGGTAAACCCAGGCCCAAGCCCTAAATTGTGTAAGCCCAAACCGATACCCTAAAGGGGTAAGCCCAGACCGAAACCTTAATGAAACACCCTAAAAGGTCCCATGCCGACCCTACTCGTGAAAGCTTCCCTGTACCGAATAGTTCCTTCAACTGCAACCCAAATAATGGGAGAAAGGGTAATCTGCGTCTTTTTTTGTTGGGTTATCTGCGTCTTTATTTTTTGGGTTATCTGCGTCTTTATTTTTTGGGTTATCTGCGTCTTTTTTTGGTTTTGTATGGCACCTACTACGTTTTCTGGCAAATCACTCGGTAATATGTGTCTTTATTTTTTGGGTTATCTGCGTCTTTTTATGGCTGTTATCTGGTACCTGCTGCATTTTCTAGCAAATCACTGGGTTATTAGCTTTTTTTGGCGTGTTATCTGCGTCTGTTTCCTTGTAAGGTTTGGATCTCAACTCCAAAATCCAACAAGCAAATACAAACATTAGAAAAACAAGAACCTGTAAACACAAAAAACAAGACGCATATGAAATTGCGATTCCGGTTCATAACATATCTTGGCGATTCCGGCGCATCATACATCTTAAACGCATTCCCCCCCTCATTCTCAAAAAACTGCATTCCTCATGGCCACTCAGGTTGATTATCCTATAGCTTTGATGGGACCTACCACGTTTCGGGCTGATCACTAGGGTATTTCCGTTGTTATTTTAGGTTATCTGCGCCCTTTTTCTTTCGGTTCAGAGATTAGCTTAACAATCCAATAGAAAATCAATACTGAAAATACAAAACTACGTAAACAAACTTTACAACACGAAAAAACTCGACTAAAAACTTCAAAACACCGATATACTTAAAATACAGACCAGTGGGGTTCATCATATATCTTAAACACGCCCCCCGATTGGGCGATGCCGGTTCATCATATATGTTTAAACACGGCCCTCATTTGGCGATTCCGGCTATCGTAGACCACGCCAGACCAGTGGGGTTCATCATATATCTTAAACACCCCCCCCCATTGGACGATTCCGGGCTATCATATATATTTAAACACGCCCCTNNCCCTCATTTGGCGATTCCGGCTATCACAGGCCTTAAACACCCCCCCCCCCGATTGGGCGATTCCGGTTCATCATATAATTGTTAAACACGGCCCTCATTTGGCGATTCCGGCTGTCATATACCTTAAACACGCCCCCGATTGGGCGATGCCGGTTCATCATCTATTTTGAAACACACCCCTCACTTGGCGATTCCGGCTATCATAGACCTTAAACACGCCCCCCGATTGGGCGATGCCGGTTCACCCGGCTATCAAAGACCTTAAACACGCCAGGCCAGTGGGGTTCATCTTATATCTTAAACACCCCACCCCATTGGACGATTCCGGTTTATCATACATAAACACCCCCCTCATTTGGCGTGTCCGGCTATCATAGCCCTTAAACACGCCCCCCGATTGGGCGATGCCGGTTCATCATATATTTTTAAACACGCCTTCCGGCTATCATAGACCTTAAACACGCCAGACCAGTGGGGTTCATCATATATCTCTATCACCCCCTCCCATTGGACGATTCCGGTTTATCATATAAATTTAAGCATGCCCCTCATTTGGCGATTCTGCCCCACGATTGGGCGATGCCGGTTCATCATATATGTTTAAACACGCCCCTCATTTGGCGATTCCGGCTATCATAGACCTTAAACACGCCAGACCAGTGGGGTTCGTCATATATCTTAAACACCCCCCCATTGGACGATTCCGGGTTATCATATATATTTAAGCACGCCCCTCATTTGGCGATTCCGGCTATCATGGGCCTTAAACACGCCAGACCAGTGGGGTTCGTTATATATATATATATATATATCCGAAACACGCCCCCCGATTGGGCGATTCCGGTTCCTCATATATCTTAAACAGGCCCCTCATTTGGCGATTCCGGCTATCATAGACCTTAAACAATCCCCACGATTGGGCGATGCCGGTTCATCATATCTTTTTAGACACGCCCCTCATTTGGCGATTCCGGCTATCATAGACCTTGAACACGCCCCCCGATTGGGCGATGCCGGTACATCATATATTTTTAAAGACGCCCCTCATTTGGCCATTCCTGCTATATACCTTCAACACGCCAGACCAGTGGGGTTCATCA